GAGTGAGTGCCTCCAGCGGGGCATCTGTTTGTTGAAACAGCTCAATGGGTATTCCGTCAATTGCTGGAGACTTGTTCTTCGCCAGTTCCTTCAGTGTAGCTTCGCTTTCTTCCTTCAATACCATTGGTCTTTGATCATATACTTCCTCCTGAAATGGATGAAGATTGACTAGTTCATTTTGGTACAGTGACTCTATTCCTTCCATTTTCTTTGATGCTTCCTGCATCATTCAATATTTTGCCCATAGAATTTTTCAATATTGCAAGTCAAGGCTTAATTTTCTTTTCCTCAGTTCTTTCAGCTTGAGAAATGCTGAGCATGTTCTTCCCTTTTGGTTTTCTAACTCCAGGTGTTTGCACATTTCATTATAGTAATTGTCTTTGCTCGAGCTGGTCTTTGAAATCTTCTGGTCAGCTCTTTTATCTTGTAATTTCTTCCATTTACTTTAGCTCTCTCCATTCAAGGGCAAGTTTCAGAGTCTTTTCTCACATCCATTTTGGTCTTTTCTTCTTTTCTCATCTTTTTAATATCTGTTGCTTTCTTCATGGATGATGTTCTTCCTGTCATCCCACAATTCTATGGTTTTCAGTCATTGGTGGTCAATGCATCAAATCTGTTCTTTAGATGGTCTCTAAATTCAGGAGGGATGTTTTTAAGATCATATTTTGGCTCTTGTGGACTTGTTTTAATTCTCTTCAACTTCAAATTGAACTTGCATATGAACAGTTGACAGTCTGTTCTACAATCAGCTCCTGGCATTGTTTTGGCTGAAGATACTCAGCTTTTCCATTGCCTCTTGTCACAGGTGTAGTCATCTGATTCCTGTGTACTCCATCTGGTGAATTCCATGTGTATAGCCACCGTTTGTGTTGTCAAAAAAAGGTATTTACAGTGAATAAGTCGTTGGTCTTGCAAAATTAAATCATGCGATCTCCAGCATTATTTCTGTCACCAAGGCCGAATTTTATAACTACCGGTGATTCTTCTTTGTTTCCAACTTTTGCATTCCACTCACCGATGATAATTAACACATCTTGATTGTATTTTTGGTCAATTTCTGACTTGAGAAGTTGATAAAAATCTTCAATTTCTTCATCTTTGGCTTTGGTAGTTGGTGCATAAGTATGAATAAGAGTCATATTAACTGGTCTTCCCTGTAGGTTCATGGATATTATCCTATCACTGATAGCATTGTAGTTCAAAACAGATCTTGAAATACCCTTTGTGACGATGAATATAATGCTGCCACTCTTTAAACTGTCATCCCCAGCATAGTAGATCATATGGTTGTCTGATTCCTAATGGCTAAAACCAGTCCATTTTAGCTCACTGATGCCTAGGATAGGAACTCTGGTAGTGTAGCGCCTAAGGCACTTGACTGCTACCCAGAAGGCTGGCAGTTCAAACCCACCAGCCACTCCTCAGAAGGAAGATTGGGCAATCTACTTCCGTAGTGATACTGCCTCAGAAATCCATGCAGGGGTCGCTATGAGTCGAGTCCAACTCAACGACACCTAACAACAACAACAACAGCAATGCCTAGGATATCAATATTTATGTATTGCATCTCATTTTTGACAACTTCCAGTTTTCCTAGATTCATCTTTTCTATGTTCCATATTCCTTTTATTGATGGATATTTGCAGCTGTTTCTCCTCAATTTGAGTCATGCCATGTCAGCAAATGGAGTCCTTGAAAGCTTTAGTCTATTCATATCAGTAAGGTTGGTCCGATTCTGATGATGCAACTTTTTTCTAGTAGTATTTGGAAAGCCTTCTGACCTAAGGGACTCATCCTCCTGCATTGTATCAGATAATGTTTCCGGGCTATTCACAAAGTTGCACAGTAATATATCAGACAGTATTTCTCTGCTCTTCATGAGCTTTTCCCTGGCCAATTCTTTGAGAAGTAGATGGTGTCTTCCTTCTTCCTAGTCTATCTCAGTCTGTTACTTGCATTGAAACCTCTGCACCATGTGCAACCCTGCCGGCACTTAAAACACTGGTGGCACAGCCTAAAGCCTCACAGCAACACACAAGCAACAATAGTATGACAAACATGACAAACTGACAGAGAAGTTTGTCTCACTTACCTGTTCGAAACCTCTCTGCCCTCCCCTTACCGGGATCTCTGACACTGCTCTGTTCTGTCGTCCCCCTGGTTTCTCTTACCCCTGCTTTCCTGGCCGGTCGGGGTGGGGCCTGGGTCCCTCCCTCCCCTTACCCGGATACCTGGCTGCTGCTCTGCTCTGTTGTCACCTCTGGCTTCCTTTTCACCCACTTTCCTGGATGGTGGGGGTGGGTCCTGTGCCTCTCCCTCTCCTTACCTGGATGCCTGATACACCTATCAGGGATCCATTTTTAGGGTAACATCATCAGTTCTCTGTGTTACATTCCAATTCAAGCCACATGCTGTTCAGTTGCCAACAAGTCCCCCGAACATGATGTGCCCATGGACCCAAACCCCATCTGCAGATTCTTTTCCATGTGCTCTCCTGCTTCTCCTGTTATATGTACACATTTGCAGATGGTGAGTGGGTTCACATTTTCCCCAGGAGGCAGTCACTCCTAATTGGTGGGAAGCTGTATTGGGTCTGGAACTATGAGAATTGTGTTGACATCCAGATTCTCATGTTTCCTGTCTCCCCTGACATCTCCTTAACTTCCAATACCTTTTCCTGTCTCCATGAAAGGGATACAGAGGGTGACAGAACTGAGTTTTTGAAAAGTAGGGGACGTGTGAAAATTAACAATTATCGAAAGGAATATTCTTTCTTCAACAGGTAGAGCTGTCACTTCCTAGTCTCCTAGTGTTTAAGGAAATAGGACTATCTCAGGACCTTGAATTGTCAGTTCATTTGTGCAGGTCCTTGGTTCTCCTGTGGCTGGGAGGGGCTAACGGAAACACTGCCTTCCTGCACTGCCTCCCAGTTCTTCATCAGTCGCCCTGTCTTGCTCCAGTGCTTTCTGTGTGTTGACTGTTCTGGTGGGTCTTATGGAAGGAGGTGAAATTGTTCACAAGGATGTGATGAACCGAGTGAGACCACCTCTCTAATTACTGGTCTGTTTTCTGACTATTGTAGATGATGAACAGAGAGGAAGGAGACTGCCGTTGAGCAGTGGTGGGGTGATGTTAGTGTGTTGGAAATGTGGGAGAAAGGAAGCACTCAGTGAGGAAGAGAATGGAGTTAGCGAAGGGATGAGGCTGATGGTTGTGCTTCATGCTTCAGCTTAATGGAAAACAGGACGTTGTTTCAAATGAACGCTCAATTCTCTGTCAGTCTCACTCTTTATTCTTATACACATTGGAGTCCATGGTACCTTCCTGATCCAGAATGTGTTGATTGTTTTAGGACTCAGTGGTCACGGAGGATGTGGCTGTGGTCTTTACCCAGGAAGAGTGGGCTTTGCTGGATCTTGCTCAGAGGAAACTCTACAGAGATGTCATGATGGAAACTTTGAGAAACCTGGCCTCTGTGGGTAAGAATTGCATGATTTTTTTTTTTTTTTTCTATTTCCTTTGTTGTTGCAGTTGTTATGTCCCGTCGAGTCGGACCTGACTCACAGAGACCCCTCCTTGGGTTTCCGAGGCAGTATCACGACAGAAGTAGATTGCTCAACCTTCCTTCCGAGGAGTGGCTGGTGGGTTTGAGCCGCCAGTCTCCTGGTTAGCAGTCAAGTGCATTAGGTACTGTGCTACCTTTAGTCATTGACTTTCCTCCAGTATTTGGGATCTGGAATGGGAATAAACTTTTGAATAAAACAGGTATGGTCCCTTGGTCTATGAAGCTCACATCCTGGCTTCCCCATGCACATCAAAAAAACAAAAAGGCTCACTGTCAAGTTGATTCCATGATTCCAACAAAGCGACCCCCACTGGGTTTCAACGTGCTAAATGTTTATGGACGTAGATTGCCCCGTATTCTTCCTGCGGAGCAGGTGGTACGTTTGAACCACCAATCATCTGGTTAGCAGTTAAGTGCCTTATCCACTGTGCCACCAATTAAAAAAAAAAAACAAAACTCACTGTCATCAAGTTGATTCCAACTAACAGTGACCCCTCTTTGGGTTTCTGAGTCGCTATTTCTATGGAAGTAGATTGGCTAATCTTCCTTCCAAGGAATGGCTGGTGGGTTTGAACCTCTGGCCTTCTGGTTATCAGTCAAATGCCTTAGGCAATATGCCACCAGAGCGCCCTTCTATGCCACCAGAGCTCCTTATAAACAAAAAGCTTTATGCGTTCAAGTGAAGTTTTTATTTCTCTTGTGATTAAAAGTCCAGAGGCTGTTTAAGTATTGTAATGCCAAGCTTTGGTTTTGGGGGTGACTGTGCATCACTGAGATTTGTGATAGGGGACCTTATAGTGAGTTTCACTATCTTAATTTCATGTTTGACTTAATGACTTTGCTGTAAATAAGCTCACACTGTCTATCTTCAGACACCCTGAAGGGCAGATTGTTATCTCATGACTAGAAGATGTTCATGGCTCCTTACAGAATTCCCTCATGAGACACATTTCTTCATGAGCACGTCACCTCTACCCAGTTATTTTCCCAAAAAAGCACGGGGAAAAGGATCTGGGAGCTGTGCAGGTAGGCCTCGTCCAGGGCCATGGTGTCGGCAAACACCAGGAAAGGAAGAGTTGTTTGCAGGAACAGCCCTGCGTGGAGGGAATTCCGTTTGAATCTATCAGAAGAGAAGTCGGCTTTGGGTTGAGGACACACATTAAGAGATACCTGAGCTTTCTTTTGTGGCATGAGCTGCCCTCTCACACTTCATGTCCTGGAGACCCTTTTCCTTTTGTAATGTTACATGTGTACCATTTCAAGTGACTTTCTGCTTGTCTCCTGATAACACATACTTGTGTTAATATCCCTCTCACTCCTAATGGAACTATATGCTGGTAACTTGCTTTGCAGCCTCTTCCAAAGTGTTGAAAGGGTGCAAGCAGCTAAGTCTGTCTTCATTCATAGCAGCCTTCCTTTCCCTAATAATTCCTTCCTTTTTGATTCATGTTCTGATCTTCAACTTGAATGATTGCCTCAGCCTCTGGAAGTGTGACTGATGGAGAAAAGTTTTCCAGTGAAGATGTCATGCTACAGTTAATGAAGAAAAACAGCTGGTCCTTCATGTTGGAAGAATTCTCAAAATTGTATGGCAGTAAAGAGCAACCTACCAAGCAGGTGAAACATTTGAGGTGAGAGTCATTCAAACGAGAGAGAAGAATGCCTCAGGAGAACGTCCCATGGTATTGTGGCATTTATATGAACATATATATATTTCTGTTTATATAGCAGGGCTTTGAACCACTTTGTAATGATTCCGTAACTGCTACTGTAAACAGGGGCCGTGTACACATTGCGTATCAACCGTATCAGGTGCCCATTGGATTTTGCCCTTAGGAGGAAACTCAAAGGTGCTCAAATGTGACAGCTAGATGTGCTCATCTGAAAGTATGTCACTCTTCATCACCTTCCCATTAATCAACTATACTTGATCACAGTCTCCTGAAATTTTTGGTATATGTGTGGGAGGTTGGATTATTGGGAGTATTGTAGAGAGACACACAGATTGAAATCTGCATGTCTATCCACCATCTTTGAGTGTGGCCAAGCTACTTGATTCCTACCTGTGGTACTTAAGTTTGTATATCAACTTAGCGGGGCCTGGTTGATTGACTGGGCACCTGGATGTAGTATTCCCCATGAGACTGGTGATCAACTCCATTGTAGAATTGACTCTGAGCAGTTGAGTAGGTGCCTTAGAAAAGTGATCAACTTCCTGTATCTAAGGAGAAGCCTTGGGGAATGGTCTCTAGCTTATGGCACACTTGAACCCTTCATGTAACCATGTCATTATTCAACAGCCTGCCAGGCTCTGTCAACCTTGAGACCTTTAATGGACTTGAATTAACGGCCTGCCATGTGGTTTGGTAACATCAGGACCGTGCCTTATTACTTGTCAACCTTGAGCTTTCAGCCTCAGCAGCCCGCAGCTAAGTGAAGAAAAGCCTCCAGCTTCAGTGGGCCAGGAGCTGGAGGCAGAGCTGAAGCCCAAGGTTGAGGAGCTTCCACCTAGCACCCAGAGCCTGGCACTTTGACATCAGACTTAAAGCCTCTAAAGCGTAAGAGAAAAAACTCCTGTTTCTTCAAACCATCCCATTTGTCGTATATTCTTTTCAGAGTGGTACTAGGTAACCAGAACACTACCAAAACAAGAACCAAACATACTCCCATTGAGTCAATTTTCATACAACGTGACCCCCATTGAGTTTCTGAGGCAGTAATCTTTACAGAAGTAGATTGCTTAGGAAGGAAGCTTCCACAGAGTAGCTGGTGGGTTTGAACCACCAACCTTCTGGTTAGCAGTCAAAGGCCTTAAGTACTGCACTCCCAGTGCTTCTTGTTTGTTTCCTACTCGTGTCAAAATCTGAAGGGTAACAGATTGTTTGCTGTGCAATGTGTAAGCTGCCTTTACTTACATCTGCAAATGCAGAACCATTACAAATCTGTTTGAAACCCTAAGACATACTAATATATACTTACATATGTGTATACGTTAACTGTCTGTGAAATTACACGTTTGGAGAATTTCCATCACACAGCATTTTCATAATGTAATTCAGATTTCATGTATTTGAAACATATTTGATTTGGACACAATCTGAAAATCTCTCTTAGAAAAATAATGGGCAGATTGGTAATATGTCTGGTAGAATATTTAAGCTATGAAACATTAGGTAAGTCAAGGCAAAACCTGTACATTCACTGTGTTTGGTGATGGTGAAATGAGAACCAATTTGTTTACAAAAGTGTATTGCCTGTTTTTAACAGAAATCATACAGTACAGAACCTCTGTGAAAGTCATGAGGGTGATCCATGTGGGAAAACTTCCAGCCATATTCCAAATCTCGCTGTGTTACCAAGAAATCGTCCAGAAGTAAAGCCTTTGGAACACTCTGAATGTAGAAAAGCCTTCACGTGTCACTCATCCCATGAGCATCCTGCCCAGTCTCCCACAGGGTGTAATTCCTGTCGGTGTGAGGAAGGTTGTCCCTCCCACCTAACCACTCCCATGAGAAGTGTTCGTGGAAAGAAGCCCCATAGATGTAAGACATGTAGGAAGGACTTGATCTGTACATCAACCCTTAAGGATCCTGCGACGGCACTGACTGGCAAGGAGCGCTGTGAAGGTAACGAATGTGGGAAAGATTCCTGCAGTTTGTCATCCTTTTGGACGCATATAAGAGGTCATGAACGTGAATGTAAACCACGTTGTAAAGACTCCAGAAATCCTTCATCCCTCATTTCACATAAAAAATTTCATCACAGAGATAAGCATTTTGTAGGTAAGGAATGTGGGAGAGCTTTTTCTTTTTCTTCATCCCTCACCAGACACACTCAAACTCACAGTGTGGGGAGGCGTTATGAATGTCCACAGTGTGGGAAAGCCTTTAGGTGTGCCTCAAACCTCGTCACACATGAAAGAATTCATGATACAAGTAGGGACTGTGGGAAAGGCTTGAGTCATTCTTCTTACCTCAGTGAACATACAAATGATGCCTCATCCCTCAGTAGATATATGCAATCTCAGACTGGGAAGAGGCTTTATGTATGTGAGGAATGTGGGAAAGGTTTTAGTTTTCCGTCATGTCTCACTATCTATTTAAGAACTCACAGTGGGGAGAGGCCCTATGAGTGTAAGCAATGTGGGAAAGCCTTTAAGTGTGCCTCATATCTCATTATACATGAAAGAATCCACCGTGGAGAAAGACCCTATACATGTAAGGAATGTGGGAAAGGCTACATTCGACACTCATCACTCACTGTACATATGCGAACTCACAGTGGAGAGAGGCCTTATGAATGTAAGGAATGTGGGAAAGACTTTATTCAGGCCTCAGGCCTCATTATACATGGAAGAACTCACAGTGGTGAGAGGCCTTATGAATGTAAAGAGTGTGGGAAACGTTTTAGTAGTTCCTCACAACTTACTGTCCACATGAGAACTCACAGTGGAGAGAGGCCTTATGAATGTAAGGAATGTGGGAAACACTTTGCTCAGTGGTCCTCACTCACATCACACATGCGAACTCACAGTGGGGAGAGGCCTT